AAAAAAAAAAAAAAAAAGAGAGAGAGAGAGAAGAAAGAAAGAAAAAGAAAGAAAGAGGCTTATTCCCTTTCCAAGAAAGGAAGAGCCGGGGAGGTCGCACCTAGAGCTGTCCTTTCTCACCTCCCGTCCCTGCCGTTAGACCTTAGGTGGGCGACACCTTAGGTGGGACGCCGTTGTTCGCTCGCGCAGCCCAAGTGAGACATTGGTAAGGCACCGCCATTCGGTGACCTCTGACGTGTACCCGCACCACTCCCTAATGGCGAGGCGGGCAGACAGCATACCTCGCTGCCCAACCACGGTAAGAAACTGGACACGCCCGGTGGGCTATAAAACCAGGGCCTCCACAGACGCTGCTCGGGACCTTCACTGGTCATTCTGGGCGGCCAGAGCGGACTCTTCCCCGAGGACAGAGGGAAAGCGAGGGCAAGCGAGGTCCAGGACTCCACCGCAGTCAGCCGCGTGGGAGTCGAGCGCCCTTAACCAAAGCCACCTGGTGGCCTCCAGAGTTTAGAATTTAGTGGTGAGTTTTCCCCTTGGTCTGACCCAGAAAGGCGGGCCATGTGGGAGCAGGGGCTTGTAGGTTGTAGGTAGGTTTCCAGTTTTTAGGTCGGTGATTAGATAAGAAAGGTTGCTGAGGTCAGAAAAGGATGTACTTTAACTGCGAGAGGAGGCTTAATGTACCTCACAAAGACGCCATGCCCCGGGCAGGTGTGGGAAGGGTCCAGGTGGTCCCGGAATGTGTGTGGGCGTGGCTCCCTCCAGGCCCTCTGGAGAGACTTTGGGAAATAGGAAAAAGCAGTCAGACTTCTGGCCACAACTATTATTACTTTTTAAAATGTTATTTATTTATTCATTTATTTTAACTTGACCAGAGAGAAAGAGAGAGAAAGAGAGTGAGAAAGCAAGCCACCAGGTCCAGGACTCGAACAGTGGCCAGCCACGTGGGAGTATCCAGCCTTACCCACCTCGTCACCTGCTGGTCCCCTTATCTTTTAAATTAGCAATAGGCCCTGTGTGCTCGCCCGAGAAGAAAGGCAGGAAGCCAGCGGCCAGGTCTGAGCCTCAGAGGCCAGGTCTCAGCCTCAGGCCGTGGTTAGCCATTTGGGAATCCAGTGCCCCAACCACCACGCCACCTGCTGGTCCCGGGAAGATAGGTTTTAAATTAAAATCTAAAGGTGGTAACCTCGTGGTTAAGGGAGCCGATCTCACTCGACTTTCATCCTGGGTTCGAGTCCCAGTGTGTGCTTGTGTGTGTACCCAAAATCTCAACAGAATGGAGGAGGGATTGGGGTGCAGCCCTCCCCCCGGGGCATGATTTCTCACTGTCTCTATTTCTCTCGCTCTCGCTCTCTCTGGCGAGTGCACATGCCTTATAACGAGACAAACAACCACACATGGCCTGTGTGTCCTGTTAGGCCGAATTAGCATATGTTAGGCTGAGTGAGTATAAGCCGATTTGGCAGAATTAGCATATGTACATATGCTAATTCGGCCTAACAGTCCCCAAATCTCGACTAGTGTGGGAAGGACGGAGAAGGGATTGCGGCCTACCCATCCTCCATTGGGGGCTGTTTCATAGTCCCCACCCCTATCTCCAGCAAATGCACGTACACGGTGAAGGGAGATTCCCTGGGGGCAGGCAGCAGGTGGCCGGTGGGGAAGTCACTGGACTCACCGGGCCGACCACGTTTGAATCCCGGACCTGGCGGCTTATTTTCTCCCTCTCCCTCTCTCTTTCTCGCTGACGACTATAGCAAGCTAAGTAATAATAATAAATTAAATGAAATAGGAAAATCATGCTAATGTGATGGCAGCTTCTACCCACCAGGAGGGGTGGGTGAGCTTCCTCGTGGGGGCTGGGCTATACTTCCGGCTCCATCCCCCAAACTTCAAGGAGAAGGGATTGTGGCATGGTCATCCCCCCAGGGGGTGACTTCAGTGTCTCTCCCTCTCTCTCTCTCAAGCCATGTGTCCTATAACAAGAGGGGCAGCGGGAGGGCTGGCAGGCTGGTTCCATAACCTAGTGGCTTAGGGTACCTGACCCCCCAGAAAAAAAAAAAAAAAAAGAGAGAGAGAGAGAAGAAAGAAAGAAAAAGAAAGAAAGAGGCTTATTCCCTTTCCAAGAAAGGAAGAGCCGGGGAGGTCGCACCTAGAGCTGTCCTTTCTCACCTCCCGTCCCTGCCGTTAGACCTTAGGTGGGCGACACCTTAGGTGGGACGCCGTTGTTCGCTCGCGCAGCCCAAGTGAGACATTGGTAAGGCACCGCCATTCGGTGACCTCTGACGTGTACCCGCACCACTCCCTAATGGCGAGGCGGGCAGACAGCATACCTCGCTGCCCAACCACGGTAAGAAACTGGACACGCCCGGTGGGCTATAAAACCAGGGCCTCCACAGACGCTGCTCGGGACCTTCACTGGTCATTCTGGGCGGCCAGAGCGGACTCTTCCCCGAGGACAGAGGGAAAGCGAGGGCAAGCGAGGTCCAGGACTCCACCGCAGTCAGCCGCGTGGGAGTCGAGCGCCCTTAACCAAAGCCACCTGGTGGCCTCCAGAGTTTAGAATTTAGTGGTGAGTTTTCCCCTTGGTCTGACCCAGAAAGGCGGGCCATGTGGGAGCAGGGGCTTGTAGGTTGTAGGTAGGTTTCCAGTTTTTAGGTCGGTGATTAGATAAGAAAGGTTGCTGAGGTCAGAAAAGGATGTACTTTAACTGCGAGAGGAGGCTTAATGTACCTCACAAAGACGCCATGCCCCGGGCAGGTGTGGGAAGGGTCCAGGTGGTCCCGGAATGTGTGTGGGCGTGGCTCCCTCCAGGCCCTCTGGAGAGACTTTGGGAAATAGGAAAAAGCAGTCAGACTTCTGGCCACAACTATTATTACTTTTTAAAATGTTATTTATTTATTCATTTATTTTAACTTGACCAGAGAGAAAGAGAGAGAAAGAGAGTGAGAAAGCAAGCCACCAGGTCCAGGACTCGAACAGTGGCCAGCCACGTGGGAGTATCCAGCCTTACCCACCTCGTCACCTGCTGGTCCCCTTATCTTTTAAATTAGCAATAGGCCCTGTGTGCTCGCCCGAGAAGAAAGGCAGGAAGCCAGCGGCCAGGTCTGAGCCTCAGAGGCCAGGTCTCAGCCTCAGGCCGTGGTTAGCCATTTGGGAATCCAGTGCCCCAACCACCACGCCACCTGCTGGTCCCGGGAAGATAGGTTTTAAATTAAAATCTAAAGGTGGTAACCTCGTGGTTAAGGGAGCCGATCTCACTCGACTTTCATCCTGGGTTCGAGTCCCAGTGTGTGCTTGTGTGTGTACCCAAAATCTCAACAGAATGGAGGAGGGATTGGGGTGCAGCCCTCCCCCCGGGGCATGATTTCTCACTGTCTCTATTTCTCTCGCTCTCGCTCTCTCTGGCGAGTGCACATGCCTTATAACGAGACAAACAACCACACATGGCCTGTGTGTCCTGTTAGGCCGAATTAGCATATGTTAGGCTGAGTGAGTATAAGCCGATTTGGCAGAATTAGCATATGTACATATGCTAATTCGGCCTAACAGTCCCCAAATCTCGACTAGTGTGGGAAGGACGGAGAAGGGATTGCGGCCTACCCATCCTCCATTGGGGGCTGTTTCATAGTCCCCACCCCTATCTCCAGCAAATGCACGTACACGGTGAAGGGAGATTCCCTGGGGGCAGGCAGCAGGTGGCCGGTGGGGAAGTCACTGGACTCACCGGGCCGACCACGTTTGAATCCCGGACCTGGCGGCTTATTTTCTCCCTCTCCCTCTCTCTTTCTCGCTGACGACTATAGCAAGCTAAGTAATAATAATAAATTAAATGAAATAGGAAAATCATGCTAATGTGATGGCAGCTTCTACCCACCAGGAGGGGTGGGTGAGCTTCCTCGTGGGGGCTGGGCTATACTTCCGGCTCCATCCCCCAAACTTCAAGGAGAAGGGATTGTGGCATGGTCATCCCCCCAGGGGGTGACTTCAGTGTCTCTCCCTCTCTCT